GGGAGAGTCAGGGCTAATGCCACATGGCCAGGGGCGCTCTGAGGTATGGGGAGGGCAGGAACCGAGGGAGGGATGGGTGAATGGAAGGTGGTCAGTGCCTGGTGGTGGACAATGGTGGCTTCTCATCCATCTTGTCCACGTATGCCTGAGAGCCTGGCCGGGGTCCTCAGGGTCCCCTTCACTCCAACCCACCTGCCCCTTTGACACTGAAGCCTCTCTCTCAGGATTCCCAGGGCCTCCTGTTGCCAGATCAACTCACGTTTGCCAGCCTTGGTGTCCTTGACTTCTCTTGGGTCTGGCTCTGCTGACCACTGGCTTCCATGGTGCTCTGCTCTCTGGTGCCCCCCTCGCTCTCTGGAAGCACCGCCTTTGCCTGCCCCCGCATTGCTCAGGCTCTGCCTGAGGCCCCTGTGCTCCTCGCCCTTCTCTCACTCCTCGCCATGATCATGTCTCCCCCAGAGCTTCTCCATCTCCCTCACACCTCCCGCTCCACTTTCTTTTTTTTTTATTTTAAATATATTTTAATGATTTTTTTAGAGAGGAAGGGAGAGGAATAGAGAGTTAGAAACATCGATGAGAGAGAAACATCTATCAGCTGCCTCCTGCACACCCCCTACTGGGGATGTGCCTGCAACCAAGGTACATGCCCTTGACCGGAATCGAACCTGGGACTCTTCAGTCCACAGGTCGACGCTCTAGCCACTGAGCCAAACTAGTCAGGGCACCCGCTCCACTTTCAACTCCACATCCAATGTAGCCACAATCCCGTCAATTCCACCCTCTGAAAATCTTTCTAGGCTGCTCCCTCCCCTCCGTGTGCCTCACTTCGGCCTGGTTCAGCCTGGCCGGAGCCTCTCCCCTGCACCCCAGAGCTGGGGGCTCTCCCGTAAGCGTCCCCCCGCCCCCCGCCCTCCCGCTGTGACCCTTGAGAACCCAGTCCCTCCCAGGGAGAGAGGGGAGAGGACCTCCTGCGGCTTCACCCACCCCTGGTACCTCGTTGAACTCTGGGTTCAGGGTCTTCTTCTTGACTGCTGTCTTATGTTTGGATTTCTTGTCCACATCTGGCTTCAGATATCTGGAATTACAACCGATGGATAGGCAGGCAGGGGTGGGGAGAAGCTGTGGGTACAGATGGAGCCAGCAGGGCTTGGAGAGGAGCACTTTGTCCTTGGAGAGATACTCAAGGCCTCCCCATTCATCCTAGTCCTCAGAGTCTCCAGCACTGCTCTGTGGCTAAGGTGGGCGGTCAGCTACAGCGGAAGCAGCACGGGGCTCCCTCTGCACCTGGAGCCTCTATCCCTCCAGGAGAGAGGATGTTCCTTGTGTCTGCAAGTGTAATGTTCACAAAGCTCACATTCCTCACCAGGAAAACATTTTTAGCAGAGTCAATCCCTTGTTAGAGCTTTTTTCTTTCTTTCTTTTTTTTTTTTTAAGAATAGCAGATTTGTTGAGCTATAATCCACATACTATAAGCTTCATCATTCTAAGTGCAAACTAGCGGTCTTTGGTATATTCCCAGAGCTGTGCAGCCATTGCTGCTACCTTGCTGGAGCTCTGAGAAAGGAAAGGCCTTTTGGGCAGCAGCAACAATGCTTCCTAAGGGAGAGGGCAGCTGGGCTGTGAACCAGCTTGTCCATGGACATTAGCTCCTTAGACTCTGGGACCTTCATCTGAGGCTCAAGGGGGCAGAGGGAGCTGCTCAGCACAGGACTGGTGTTCAGAAGCCGGGACAGGAAGCGCAGAACCTCCCCTTTACAGAACCTCTCACCCTGTTTCTATAGATAACTGAGGAACCATTGCTCTGCCCTTGCTGGAGGTACTCTGGGGTGAGGACCACGTCTATCTCACCCACCACCAGCTTCCTGGCACCCATCTCAGTGCCTGGCACTGGGTAGGTCAATGAACATCTGTTGAATGAATTACTGAATTCCTAGAAGTGAAATTACCCACTCAAAGCCACACACGTGTCTTCCTTCATTTTGCCAAATTGACCTCCAGAAAGGCCATACAGTTGACATGCAGTGCCCCTGACAAAGTGGAGTACCATCACCTTAAAACCAGCATCATGGCAGAGTGAGAAGACTTTTGTTTCTTCCCTTAAATGTATAACAAGTTGGACAACTGTAACTCAATAAAGGATCCCCTGCTCAACACAAACATGCTTGAGAGATTCATGCCTCTGAAGGTGGGCATACTGGAGTGAGCAGGGAGGCGGGCAGGGGAAGGACAGGGACGGTAGCCACAGATGCAGTTTGGCGCCTACCACAGCTCCAGAGTGGGGCAGAAGCAGTGTTCTCCCAGGAAGAGGCACCCCTCTCCTCCCCCGCTTCCCATCACAGCAGACCCCGGTAGAAGTGCTGGGAAGTCTTAAACGGCACAGCAGGGCCAACAGCCATTGCTGGCAGGGACTGGGGCTGTGGAACGTGAACTTGATTCCTCTCCCCCCCTGCCCCCCCGCTTCCCATAGCAGACCCCGGTAGAAGTGCTGGGAAGTCTTAAACGGCACAGCAGGGCCAACAGCCATTGCTGGCAGGGACTGGGGCTGCTGTACGTGAACTTGATTCCTCTCCCCCCCTGCCCCCCCCCCCCGCCCCCCACGTGCACA